AAGCGTGCAGTCAGTGGCTGGATTTAGAAATCCAGGCATAAATCACATTAAAACACGGACGGCGACGATCCCAACGCGTCGGCAAAAAAGCTTTGCCCTGATTTCATTCCTTCCCCACATCTTAAAAGCAGAACCAAGTCCGACAGCAGGGTCCCATCCCCCCAGAGAAAACCCCCAGATAAAAACCCCCAATAAAATGCTGGGGGGGCAAAGGTGGGATCTGAAGGCAAGGGGGTCCCTGCTGGGGTTTACTCCTACGAATTCATGGGGATTTATTCATCGTCGGGGGTTTGGTTAATTCCAAAGCTTGGGGTCTCTCCCCACCCCAGCCCCTTGCCTGCAAGGAAAGAGCTGCCATCCACAGGGAGGGGGGGCTGTGGGGTGGAGGGTCCCCATGAGAAGATCCCCAGGGAAACAGCTCGGGAACCGAGCGAGGAATTTCTGATTAATGACCAGAACAGCTCGGGATTTTGTTTTTCTCCATAAATCCTGGCTGATTATAAACCCCTGCGCTCAGCCTGGCTGTGGGCTTTGCATGGGGTGGGGGGAGCATAAGAAATTCTCCACTCCCCCCCCAGGGCCTGTACTCAAACTGGGCAGCAGCTGGAGGCTGCAGCATCCTCCCACCGTCCCAGCTCCGCTTCCATTGCCCCACCGGAGCAGGGAAGGGAGAAGGGCTGGGGGGTGCACAGGGATGTGGTTGGTACCCCCCCCTCCCCAGTTCACAGCAGTTCTGGGGTCTGTAAAGCTGAACATCCCCCAAACCACAGTCTGATTTTCAAGTCCAAATAAAGTCTGATGTCTTTTTTTTGCCTTGTCCAGCACAGGAGGGTGGGTGTGTAGGCACAATCCCATCCTGTTTTCCTGCTCTGCCACCTGCACGCTCCCTTTCCCCTCAAAATCCCAAACTGGGACCCCTGATGCCCCTTTGCTTTTCATAACCTCCACCAAACCCCTGGTACCGGGATTTTGTCACAGTTAAACTGGATCTTGGATACATCAGGTTGGGTTTGGCTTTTTTCCCCCCTTTTACATGATAATAAGCTTTTTTCATCCAAGATCAGGGAGAAAAAATAGGCAAGGAGGAGGGCTGACCTGCACAACCCATAGAGAGCTTTGAGAGGAGCACGAACCCCAAAGCTGTAATTACTGCCTGTGTTTTTTGGCTACGAACCGGCTGCTAAATTGGTCGTAAGGCACAGAAACGGCAGCTACACCTTTCGGTGGAAAAAACGTGGTTTAGTGGAGGAACATGCATGGGAAATACCTCCCCAAAACTGCAGTCCCCATATAACAGCCCAGCATTACACGTTCTGCATTCAAGAGTTTAAAACAATCATCCACCCAGGTGAACAGGAACGCTGAGCCCCGAATGACAAGACCTTCTACATCAACAGAGTAAATTGAGGATTTTTCCCTTGATCTGCCAGCTGTATCAAAAATACCCTCCTGGATGCAGGACACGGGCGAGCGAGAGGCAGGAGCATGTGCTATTTTGAGGTTCAATATAAAATAGATACCCTTGGCTTCAGCAGTTCTCCGTAGCCCGGCCCACAGGAGCTGCAGGTACTTTCGTATGCATACAAAACATTTTAAAATGGAAAATATTCACAGCTGCTCTCGCCTTTTTGACAGGGGGGAAGGAATCGTGGGGCATGTTAAGGAGATATTAAAAGCTGTGGTTTGAAGCTCCTAAAGCATTTACTCAGCGGGAGAGCCAGAGAAAGAAGTTTAGAAGTTAACTGCATACTTGTGTGCCTTTGCTCTGTCCTTCTTAAAATTCACCTCTCCTATCTGCTTCTAATTTAAACAAGCAGAGCCCTCCAGGAACTGGAAAATCCAGATTTGCAGCATCTCCCAGGGAAAGACGATTTCCTACGTGCCCCCCCAGCACGAGGGTCCTGCTGAAGGTTAAGCTCATGAGTGCCTTTGGTTTTGCACCGAGTTAATCTCCCCCCAAAATAAAAGACCTGGGGAATGCTGGTGAAAACTGCACTGATGTTGCCAGCTGGTCCCTGGTTTAGTCCCATCCCTCTTCCAGAGCCAGGCATGGATTTCACCACCACTGCAGGCATTGAATGCCCGTCCCCACACCGTGCCCTGTCCTGCTTCAGCTTCCCCTTCTGAAAACAGGGTAAACCCATCCACCTCCCCGGGGTGCATTATCGTGGCTTAAAATTAACACTCGAAAATGTATTTTCAAATCCCTTCATGAGAGGCACCAGAAGCACTAGGTGTTAGCAGAGTAGATCTTTCACCTTTTAACAGCTGTTAATTGCCATTAAACCCAAACACGCACGGCTTCATTGGAACAGCATCCGAATTTCCATGTCGTGTTGCAAAGCCTGTGCCCGCCCTCAGTTGTGCCCTCTGGCACGTGCCAGCTGCCTCGACAAGGTGTGACGGATAAATCCTGCCTCTCTGGTAGTCATCCTGCGCACTGGGACCCGTTTTGGGGTCTCCTGATGCCAGGCTCTTTCCTTCGCCCTCCCCACCGTGCTGGGAGTCCTTAGCACCAGACCTGCCGTCACTGCACGGAACTCCAACACCCCCTCCCTGACTCGCAGCAGAGAAGTAGATGGGATGCAAAATCTGTTCCCAAAAATACCCCGAAGAAGCAAGCAGGAACCTGCCCGCAAGGAACTGGGTCCCTAAGGCTGAATCCGGCCCGCAGCTGCCAGGAAAAGCACGTGCTGGGTGTCACAGGGATGGGAATAGCCCGCTGTGACAAACGGGAGTAAATCAAAGTCATCAACAAGCAGGGCTGGGGCAAGGCTGCCAGCACTGCCCTCCCTGTAGCCACCACTCTGGGGGAGTCCCTTCCCTGCTCTCTTTGGGGTCTGTTGAATCAGCCCCATCCACAGCATCCCTCCATCACCTTGGGACTACCCTATGGAACAGCCAAGTGCCAGGCAGAGGAGAAGCCCTTGGTGTTGTGGCAAGAGTTTTCCCCGAGTCCGGGAAGCTGCTGGCTCCTCACAGGTACTTTATGCACCCCCAAACAACCAAACCCAGCTGGGAGTGCCTGCACCGGGTACCAAACTGCTAAAACACGTGAGATGGATTCAGCAGGGCAGGAGGGGAAGAAGTATCTGTGGCTCCGAGCATCTTGTCAGACCCCAATGTTTCCCCCTCAAGCCCCAGCACAAGGAGGGGTGTCCATGGCTGGCTCCCAGGGCTATCCCATCTCTTTTCCCATCACCCCAGTCCTCTGCAAGGGGAAGGGGCGGTTGGACAAAACAAGCCCTTTCTGCTCCACAAAGCTCGTCAGCCAGCGGCTCTGGGCTTATAATTATTATTTCCTTAAAGACGAGCCGAGCAGCTATAGACAAAAAAGCCCCCTCTTGTCGGAGCTGGAATTTGATGTCCTAACGACTGTTTTTGTACCGTGCCTGTTAGAGGAAAGAGCTCGGCAGGAGGGGGAAAGAGAGATTTAATTATAGAGCTGCATTGTGATTTTGCACACATAGCTGGCTGTTGTAATCAGGTTACAAGTGTATCTGATTTTCTTCCCTCCCCTCCCTCTTCCTCCTCTTTCTCTCTCTTCTTTTTTTTTTCTTTTTTTCTTCCCCTCCCCCTTTTTCCTTTCGTTGGTCCAAATTAGTTGCTTATGTTTGGGTGTTGCAGAGACGAGCTGTTATTTGCCTGCACTGAAGATCTTGATCAAGGGAACAATGTTTCCAAGGATCCTCAGCAGCTCTTTGCTGGAGGAAGCCAATGGTTCCCAGCTCCACCAGAAACCCCCCTGGGCTGTGCCAGGCACTTGCATCCCACCATCCAGGGGCTCCCACCACCACAATAAGGACGGACACCCATATATACATATATATATATATATCTCTGCCCCAACTCCCCCACGCTCTCCACATTCCTTCACATCCAGGATTCCCTCAATAAATTGAGGCTTATGAAGAAGAGGAGAAGCTCGATTTACCTCCACTGGAGCAAGAGAAAGGAAAGAGAGGAGAAAAGAAACCTTTTTAACAGAAACTTTATATTTTCCTATCTGAGTCAAGTGATGCCGCACTGGGATTGGGGACTGTTGTTGGGTTCATTTAAGAATCTATTGTTGTCCATGTGAATTCTTTTTTACATTTCAAATAACAGGATTATTTCCCCAGGGGGTAATATCCTGTAATTTGAACACAATAATGGGAATAAATTACTTACTTAGAACTAATAACGACAGCCTGATTCCAATATATATAGGAACTGTAACAGCTTTGGTTAGTTAAAGTGTAATTGTGTCGACGGATGACATTTTCTTTCAAAGGAATCTGAATGACTTTTAATTAAATTTGCTGGGGGTGGGGAAGAGAGGGAGAGATACACTGGGAGATCTCGGCTGCCGAGGCTGCGGCGGGTCCCAGCCCCGGTGCCCCAAGCTGAGCTCAGCCCCGAGCAAACCCAGCCCCGGCTGCAGTTCCCAGACCAAGCACAGAACAGGGAAGAAGGAAACCAGCGCCAAAGCCCATGGCCCAGGGATGGAGGGATGGTGGGATGGAGGAATGGAGGGGGTAGAGAGGATGAAGAGGGGTAGAAGGGATAGAAGGATGGAGGCCAGCCCATTTCCTGAGCTCCACCCTGGCAGAGGGCAGGGCAATGCCCATATCCTGCCCTGGGCACCCCTGCACTGCCTCTGCCTGTGCTGGGGAAAGGAGGAGCTGATGGGGGCACCAGCAGCCAGGCAAGGAGGCTCTGCTGCTCTTGTTGGAGCCATGAAATCACAGAATGGGTTGGGTTGCAAGGGACCATAAAGACTACTTCAGGGTGTCCCATGGGCAGGGACACCTTCCACTATCCCAGGTTGCTCCAAGTCCCATCCAACCTGGCCTTAAACAGTCTCAGGGATGAGGCAGCCACAGCTTCCCTGGGGAACCTGTGCAAGTGCCTCACCACCCTCACAGGGAGGAATTTCTCCCCAGTATCCCATCTAACGCTGCCCTCTGGCCCTGGGAAGCCATTCTCCCTTTTCCTGTCCTTCCAGGCCCTTGTCCAAGTCCTTCTCCAGCTCTCCTGGAGCCCCTTAGGCACTGCAAAGGGCTTTAAGGTCTCCCCAGAGCTTTCTCCTCTCCAGGCTGAACAACCCCAACTCCCAATATTGCCACCTCAGCCCAGGGGTCCCTCAGGGAAGGCAGCTCTGCCCGAGGAGGACCTGCACCAGCAGCCCTCCATCCCAGCTCCTCGCCCTCACCCCAGAACTCCCCTGCAAGCCCCGGGCTCTGCACGTCTCCTCACCGCTGCCTTCACTGCCAACCACTCCTCAGGTTTATTTCTGAATCAGCAGCACGAGAGGTTCCCTTCAAAGGCAAAAAAAAAAAAAAAGAAAAAAAAAAGGGATCTTTCAGCTGCAGCGCTGCAGAAAGCCAAGTTCCTGCCCCGAAATATGTCGGAGAGGAGCTGTGTGCTGCTGCCAGTGGCTCCAGCCTCCTCCAGGACTCATTTTCCTCTGTTTATCTTGAAAATATTTCTGTGCTGAGGTCCCACCCCGTGCGGCGGAGCCCTGCGAGGCCGCCTCCAGCCTCACACACGGCCTCTTGTTTATCCACAGCCAGTTTTACAAATAGCTTATTAAGCCCAGAGGTCTGTTTGCTGGAGGAAAACCTCACGGAGCAGCTCCTGCAGCCCCCCCTCCGAGGCTCCTGCCAGCTGTGCCCCCTCCCAAAACCCCTCTGACATGCACTGAGTGGCTCAGGCCTCTGTGGCTGCAGACAAATGTCTGCTGGGTTTGGGAATCGCTCATGACATAATAAAATAACCAGTGTGCTGGTGGAGGAGGTCCCACCACCCTCGTCCTCTCCCTGCTCCCAGGGTCGATATCCCGTCTGGGATTTTGGCATGGCACGGCGATGCCGTGGCACTGCCAGCTCTGGTTTGTGGGACCCTGCAGTGGCAGCTGCCGGGTAGATTTTGCCTTTTGTAAGACCCTTCTGCAAGGGGCTGCTGGTTTGGGGGGGGGGAGTTGCAGGGGTTCAGATTGCAGGGAGTAATATTTTGGGGGCTGCTGAATTGGTTGTGCTTTGGAAGTTGCTGAAAACGTGCCCAGACCCAGAGAGCTGACAACAGTTGGATGCTGCGTACAGTGGTCCTGGCAGGAGCCCAGTGGGACCATGCCTCAGATTCCCTCCTGTGCCTCTGCTGCCCACCCAGCCCCAGGATCCCCAGGTGGGAGCTGGGATGGAGGGTTTCAGCCCACAGCAAACAGCATCAGGGATGTCCCACAGGGCTCAAGCCCAGCCATGGGCACCTCTGTGTCCACAGAGTCCAGCAAACACGTGCCTGAGCACCTCTGTCCCTGCTGCCACCTCTGCCCTGGGCAGGAGCCCGGCTGTGCCCAATCCCCAGTGCCCCAGCACCACAACTTGGGATGCCCACCCTGAGCACCCCCTCCCCAGGACCCCCTGAAGCCCCCGAGCACACAGAACCCCGTAACACAGCAACATTCATAACCTGGCTGGCGAGATTGAATTACCTGCCCCTGGAAGAATAAAGGAGGCATTCAGCCATTTTTTTAAAGTCTTTCCCCCTGCCAAGGCCAGACACCACGGTGACGGTCGAGCACAGAGGCAGAGAAACACGAGCCCTCACCTCTCCCTCCGAGGGTGACCCCGATCTGCCCCACATCCCCCCCTTCTCCGACCCCTTAACACCCAGGGAAGCACATGCTTTGCTCACCCGTCACGAGCTCCCTTATCTTTTAATAAAACCTTTAAGAGCAGAAGTCAGGCAATGCCGGCACAAAGGCAGCTCAGCCTCCTCCCGGGACATTAATCATTTTCTTTGACACGTTTTGCTAATTAGCCAAAGCGTTTGCCTCGACAGGGGAGAAATTGGGGCCTGGGAAAAAAAAAAAAAAAGAAGGAAAAAAACATTACAAGAAGGGGAAGAGGTGGAAAGGGAGGAAGAAATGGGGGAAGAAGGAGCTGACGTCACCCCTGTGCTATCTGGCATCCCTGGGCATCAACTTGCTGAGAGAAAACCCAGTCCCAACCCCACCCCAAGGATTTTGGGGAGCTGTGATCTGTGATACACACTGTACCTTCCCCATCCCATTCCTGGTTACCCCATTTTGCAGCCACAGAGGGTTATTTGAAACACACTGTTTGGGGGTTTAACTCAGGGCTTTATCTTTTACATGGCTGTTAATCCTCAGGACACATGTTTCCTATCAGCCCTTGATATTTAACATACGATAAGTGTCTTATTAAATCCCAGGAACACTCACCCCAAAACCCAGCCTGGGGGCACCCCAAAGGCAGACTGGGCACCCCAGCTCCAGCACAGGTTTTGGGTGTACAAGATGTTAGACCCAATAGGGAGAGAAATATAGTGGAATGAAGGCTCCTCTACACAGGAATTCAGCCTTTGCGCTGGGTTTTGGCCCCCTGAGTAGTCACTGCTCCCATGAGTGGGGAGAACCACTTGAAATTTTTAAAATATGTTATTTTTAAGGGTTTTTTGGCAATGCTGTGTGACACAGGGATGAACCCATCTCAGGCAGGACTAGCTACTGTCCCAGCATGACTTCCAATTCCAAGAGTCTGACCCAGTTTTCATAGGACCTGATGTTTTTTGGGGGAAAGAGACCATAGAGAGAGCAATCCACAGGGAAATCACTCCAATCCACCACACTGAAAAAATAAAAACCCAAGGAGAAAGCATCACCTGCTCATGCCTCCCCCCAGCCCAGCATGGCAAAATACTGGCTCTTGTCCCATCCCTGAACATCAGCTCTCCATCCCAACTCCTTGGGGAAGGCCAGGACAGAAAACCACACGGCACAATCCTCTTTCCTCCACGAAACCAAGCATAAGGACAACAAAACAGGGTGATAGAGCCCCCCACCCATGGTAAGGACACCCACCCATAGATGTCCCCTGCCCACAGAGACCGTGCCATTCCCGTCCACGGGTATGAGAGAGTGGGAGCAGCATCCCAGAGCCACGTCAGTCCTTTGGGGAGCGTTAAGAAAATAAATCACAGCTCTTTGCTCCTCTCCAGCACAAGTTTCTCATTGCTGTGGGATGACACACAACGTCCCCTCCAAAACAACACGCTTTATTATTATTCTGTTTCTAATTTGGGGGTTGGAAATGATTTTCCATCCCAGAATCCAAACCAAACCATTACACCCCCCCCAAAAAAAAATTACTAATGTGCTTTCCAGAGAGCAGTGGCACGGTCAGTGCTCTGCAAGGAGAGGGTGAAGGTTTGATAAACAGGGATGAGCACCAAGGAACATCCTTCTCCATGCCGGTTTCCAAGAAAAAGCGTTAAAAAAAGCAAATTCAGTCAAATACAGAGCTGGCCCAGACTCCTGCTGTAACCAGCTGGGTCTGGGATGTGCTGGTCCCACTGGGAAAGGGCCGTGCTCCATCCCTGACCTCTGAAGGATTTGGGGAAAAAGAGGTGAAAGGTCAGTATGTGGGAAGCAGCGCAGTGCTGGGGACCTGACACATAAATCAGCATCATTCCCATTTTTGGCTGTTCCAACCCAAATCTACCAGTGGATCCTGCTGGCTCCCTGCAAGGCAGCAAGAAGCCAGTGAGGTCCCACTTCTCCCTGTCCTGCCTGGCCCTGGGGACAGTGGGGACACTCAGACCAAGCCAGGCTGAGTCCCCAGCCCTGTCACCCCAGGTTGTGCCACAAAGCTCGTGGAGAGCCTTGGGGGGCCCCGTGCAGCCGGCAGCGCTGGCAGACGTGCCGAAACCGGCACGCAAGGAGCTGGTGGAAACCCTCCAAGCCTCCTCCGCCGTTGTATAAGAGCCGCTCGAAAATACTAATCCCCAAAAAATTCAACCCTGGGAGCGTGACCAGGCCGCCTCCCAGGCAGCGTGGTTTGCACAGCCAGCCCTGCACGCATCCAGGGGGGAAAATGCCTTCAGGTGAGCTCTGCAGGAAGGTCGGGGTCCCAAATGTTTTCATACCAATGATCCTCAAAAAAAAAAAAAAAGAGACAGGCGAGCGAGGCACAGAGGCAGAATCACCCGGCATGCCGAGCGCCGCTGCAAAACAAGTAGTTTTTCCATGAGTCACCAGTGGAAAGACCAGATCAGGCATCCCATGGGTGGGCTTGGCCAGAGCTGGCTCCTCATCCCCACCACGGCTGGGAGGATGTTTGGTGTGGGGATGCTGCATGTGCGGCCCCGCTCACTGCACCGCTCTCAGCCCCCAGCTTTCCTCAGGCTGCTCTGGGGTCACACTGGGATGGATTCAATGGAATCCCCAAGCGTTGGAGGGTCTCAGGATGCGGGGATGCATCCTAGTGGTGTTCAGACATGGCAAGTGGGGTTTAGTCTGTATGAGCAGTGCAGGATTTTCCTGACCTCCCTTTCCCTGAACTGACAGTGCACATGGAAACCCAACGTGTGCCCTTCACCGTGGCCTCGGGGCACTTCATTGCTCTGCCGCTGCCCCCTGCGCCTCCGGTGTCCCCTAAAACCCCCAGGGAGGGAGGGAGGCAGCGACAGAAGCACAAATAAATAAAAGAACTGGTGAAGGAGCACCGCGAAACAAACAGGTTTGATTTATCGGTGGCGGGAAGGGGCGAGTGCGATGACAGGCAGCGCAGGAAGTCCCTGGGACCGTAAATCCCAGTGGGAGTGGATAAAGCTTCCATGCGCTGGGTGGGAGGTTACGGGGAGGGCGGCGGGTGAAGTTTAGGGAAACTGGGGTGGGGTGGAGTGTCTTTTCTGGTTTTTAAAAGGGCGGCGATGAGGGGGAGGCGACGCCGCAGCCCCGAGGCAGCGCCCAGGGCAGGGTACCCGCGGCAGCCCGGGAAGGGACGGGATCGCATCCTCGGGAGGACTGGAGCTCCGTCCCGTCATCACCACCCGCACAATAACAGCAACCCTGGCTGTGTTGTGGGTACAGAAACGGCACGTACTTGTTGCTGGCCGTGTTTCCTGGCAGCCCTAAGGCAGGATTTGGCTGCGCAGGAATTTGGAAGCTGCCTTAAATCCAGAAAGAAATGAGAAAAGGCTGGGAGCGACTTTGTGGGCAGAGTTCAGCTGCAAATCCCTGCTCGGCAGCGGCTCAGCGCGGGGCCCCGGCCGCGGCCGCCCTCTCCCGACGCACGGCAATAGGGATGAGGTCGGAGACACGGCTGCCGGGGATCGTGTCCTGTTCCATGGGGACATCGAGGAGGGCTCCCTAGCAGTCCCGGACACCACTTCCTTCCCTCCTCTCCCTTCCCTAAAAGCCTCCTTGGCCGCAATGCCCCTCAGCATCCAAACCTCCATCCCAGCTGACCCCACTGAGATGAGCCCAATCACAGATAGAGCTGATATGAAATTCCATAAATCCCCCTCACCTCTTCCCTGGAGCTGCTGATGGCCACTCTCACCTCATGGATGCGCTGGCTCAGCTGCAGATGGATGCCAGACTTCACCCTTTCCTCAGGGTGGACAGGACAGCAACGGCATTGCTGGGAAGATCCATGGTCAGCAGCCTTGCTTCCTGCTCATTTGGACGGAATCAAGGAGGAAAGGAATGAAAAAGAGGCAGGAGGTGCCAAGCACTCTAAAAATCAACAACGAAAATGAAAAGAAATTAAAATTCACCCCAGAGCCTCCTCTGGATATTCAAGAAGGTGCTTCCCTGCCTCTGGAACTCTGCACGGGGAGCTGCCCCCACCCAGGGTCGGTGCTGGGGTCACCTCAGCCCCACACCCCTCGTGAGCCCAGCTCTGGCTCTCCATATTCCCAGATTCACTTTCAGGGATCTCTCTGCTGCATCCCAGCTCCTTTTATTTGTGTGAAATTCAGAGTTTCTTAGGAAAAACAAGCCCAGGGCCTGTGATGGGGGATTTACCTGCATCTCTGCTTCCCCAGTGACATCCCTGGGTGGAGAGGGTCCCAGTGATGGATGATTCCCAGCCCTGCATCACCAAAATCCAGATTGCACCTTGTCCTGGAGAGCCAAGGAGGAGCAGCCAAGAGCTTTCCACCATGGTGATTTTTTATTTCACTTGGGAGAACGTTTTTAATTACAGGTGCCATTACCCCACGCACTTGGTGTATAAACACGACCTCTCCGTGGTGGTTTAAATGGACTGAAATCACACACCATCCACTGGGATGAGCAACTGGCCTTGCCATTCTGCCAGAGGGAAAGGGAAGCCCAGGTCCAGGGAGCAGAATTTCTGCAAGAGTACCCCAAACCCATCATCTTTGTGTTTCCCAGCTCTCTCCCCCTTCAGGGACAGGGAAAACACAGCACCGGTGCCACATCCCCTGCGAGTCCCTGTATTTGCCTTAAAGGGATTTTCCTGCCTTTTTGCCCCATCTCAAGCACCATCCTTTCCTACAGCACCTGGGACATGACAAACATTGTTCAACACCTAAGGTTTTATATATTAATCCTTTAACTCCCAAACTGGAGCTTGCAGGGGAAAAATCAAGTCTGATGGGAATGGGATTCCAGCCGCAGCACTCCCAGTTTTTCAAGCATCTCATTTGGCTTCTCGAGCCTCATTTTGGGAAGCAAACAGCTTTTCCATACTGGACTGTGCCTCCTGCTGCCTCTCCCTGATGAAGTAGCCCTCAAACATCGTGGAAAGGGCTTGGCTTTGCTTTGGTGGAAAGCTGCTTTCTCGATAAAACCTCAAAAACAAGCTTTCTGTAGGAAAAAATAGATGGTTTGGGATGACTGGGGTTGCTCACCAGGGATTCAGGACTGGCTTTGGCCCCCCTGGCGTGTCCATCAGCTCCCCAAAAAAGCCATTTTTGCTCATTGCTAATAGATCCCTGCAAAGAGGGGAGAGGAAAAAAATTCCCTGCGTGCCCTCACTTATGCACAGACAAGGAAATGTCGTTAAACTAAACCAAACAAACGAATCCAGAGGCAAAGAGAAAAATCACATTATCCCGAATCATAAATCCCGGAGAGGGGTATTTACAGGCTGAATTGCCAAGTGCATTGGAACTGCAGAGCACCCGAAGAGCAGATAGCCATAAAGGCAGACAACGGCCCTGGAAAAAATGCTTTGATTAGGATCTGGGCAGCATTCAGCCCAGATGTTCATTTGTCAATGGAAGAGGGATGGGGGGGAGGTGAGAAAGGCTTTAAATTAATCTTTACAACTAGAAAGGAGCTTGTAATACACACCATATGGGGAGCCACGTCCCTGGAGCCCCCTCGCCTCCCCCCAGCCCGGCGTGTTCGGAGCCAGGGTGGGACCCTCCGGCCGGAGCGTGTCCTCCTCCTTCACCCCCTTGTTTTCTCCATGCACCAAACACCCCGTGAACCCAAAACCCTTCCACATGTGCTTTTTTTTTACCGCGAACAAAACAAACTGCAATTCTTCTTATAACACCAGATCTCTTCTATTATTCCCCCCCCACCCCCTTCCCCAGACCCAGATACCTGCTCCCCACTCCTTCCAATATCCACATGTGGTTTCTTTTTAACCCTTCCAAGATGCCGGCAGTGGTGAGGGGGGGGAGGGTTGTGTGTGGAGAGGAGGGACGAGGCTGTTTATTAAATGCCAACCATTCAAATTAATTCCCCTAATGGACTCGCCGACATCATGGTGTGCATTTAAATGAACGCTTTGTCATATTTCATAGCCAACCTGCAGCTCTCTGCAGAGCAAACCTGCTGGAAAGCTGGGAACAGCAGCAATGACAGCGACAAACCTATGGAGAGATAAATAAGAATTAAATACAAATCCCAAATGCAACACAGGGGTGACAAGAGAGTCCGGGAAGCCCTTGGAAATTTGGAGGTGGGGTGCAAGCAAGACCCTAGGCAAGGCAGAAGGAGCTGTGTGATGGCAGTGGGAGCTTCTTTTCCACACAGGAGGAGGAAAAACCTTTTCGCTGCTGGGGCAGGAGGGATCAGAGACCCCTCGCCTGGGATAGAAACCCCTTGCCCAGACCAGCACAAAGCCACTGCTTCCCAGCTGGAGTCTGGGCTGTCCCTTCCACCAAAGCCCCACCACAGCAGGGACCAGCCCCAGCTACCCCTGCTCAGCTGCAGGGACCTGGTGAGGAGGCAAACCCCCTACATCCTGCACCCCCAGCTAGTGCATCCCCCTGGACCACTGATCTGGGGGCTGACAGTGGAGCTGCCTGGCCAGCATCCCTCCCCACAGCATGGGCTGGGATGCTGAATCCCAACCCCTCCTCGGCAAGCTGTTACTGAACATCCCAGCTCCTGGCAGAGCATCCCTGCTGCTCCTGAGTAAACAGGCCTTCCCCTCCCCAGCATCCCTGGGACAGCCACAGGTTACTCACCTTGGCTCCAGCTTCAAGAGCTCCCAGTCCTTTCATCAGCCCGATGGAAAGTCGGTGCACACACAGACACACCCCGTGTGCTGCAAGGACCAGCTACCTCCTGCTCACAACCTCTCCTCCCATCTTGTTTCCTCTCTTCCCCCACCTTTAAGAGCTGCTGGAGGGATTTTGAAGGTCATTGAAGACCAGTGGGCCAAGAAAGTAAAAATCATAGAATCACAGAGTGGTTTGAGTTGGAAGGAATCCCAAAGATCATCTCATTCCAACTCCCTGTCATGGGCAGGGACACCTTCCATTATCCCAGGTTGCTCAAACCCCCATCCAAGCTGGCCTTGGGACACTTCCAGGGATGGGGCAGCCACAGCTTCTCTGGGCAACCTGTGCCAGTGGCTCACCACCCTCACAGGGAAGAATTTCTTCCCAAAAATCAAATCTAATCCAGCACTGTTTGCAGAAGGCTCTCATTTAGGGAAACATCTGGAGTCAGCACTTCTCCCTCAGAGGGCAGTAAAGGGTTCAGAGGACACCAGCCCTCATGCTGGGGAGGAAGAGGAGGAGGAAGGAGCCCATTTGCCTGGTCCCCCAGGGAAGGGACATGGTAGGTTTCTGCTTGGTGTCTGTTACCTGGCCTGGAGAGAGCAAGGCTCCATCCCCTGGAATCCCAACCAGGAGAACAGCCCCTACAGGTCACAAAACCTTGGGCACCAAGTAAGTGTTGGCAATGCTCAAGAGCCCTCCAAAGGGACAGCTGGGTTTGGCTGAAGGACCCTGAGGACCCAAGGGAACAGGAGGGATGCTTCTGATCCACTGGGCTGTGGGCAAGTAGGGAAAGGGGTTTACGGAGGGATAGCACACTTGGGGGGGCACCCTGCTGTCACAGCAAAGGCAGGGGATGTCACCCCCTTTTCCAGGTCCTCCTGGACCTTCTCCCAGGTCCTCTCGGGGTCGCAAGGCAGGAGCATCCCCTCAAACAGCAACACATGGGGTGCAAGCTAAACCTTTCCTGGGGGCTTGCAGGTGAGGAAGGGTCCCATTCTATCCCACCCCACCCCACCCCTGGCAGGTCCCCAGAAGGTGGCAGGTCCAGGCTGCGGTGACACTGGGCTGCAGTGACATCTGCTGGGCTCCCTCTCGGGGACCCCCCAGCCCGGACTGGCCACAGCCCCTCTGGCCCTGCACAGCCCCACCCCCGAGCAGGACCCGCTCCCACGCTGAGCCCAGAGCCTCCAGCCAGGGCTCGGTGTTTCCAGCCCTGAGCCCACCTTGAGCCTCTCCAGCTCCTGTTCAGACCCCTCAACACCACATCCCTCACTGCCAGCTCCATGGAAAGCCCCCAGATCACCGCAGCTAGAGGAGAGGGGCAGCACCCCCCAGCCCCCACGCTCCCTCGGGAGGAGTCCCAGGGGTGGTCTCCATGCTTCCGAAGAGACCAAAGAGCTGAAAAACCTGCATTAAGAGAGAAAATGCACAAATTAGGAGTGGGGGTAGGGATTGGAGGAGGGGAGGGAGTTGTTTATCTAGAGCTGATTTTGATTTTCCTCTTTCAAATATCAGCAGGATGCTGAGCCTCGCCTCGTTATGCAAATAGAAGCAATTAGAGCTCACCCAGGCTCTGCCCACGTGATGGTTTATGGCACTCGCAGAAATCCTTCCTGCTGCATGAGAGGAATAACAACACCTCCCCGTGCCCACTCCAGCCCTGCCATGGCCAGGGACATGGGAAGGCTGGGAACGGGAGCCCTGGAGCTGCAACAACTCACCTCCCATAGCCACACCCGGGCCTTCCAAAGTCCTCAGAGAAGGACTTTTCCAAGGAAAAATCTCCCCCTCTTCCATGGAGAAACTAACTGCACCGACAGCAAGCCCCCACCAGCTCTTGGGATGGGACAGGAGGACAGATGGAGGGGGAGAGAGCATCACTGGGAGCAATGCCAGAACCTTTTTCTCCACCAAGCCACCAAGTCAGCCCCCAGCAGGACATCTGGGACTCGGGTCTGAGTGGATGCACTTTGCTGAACTCCAGCAGAAAAGAGGCAAAGCAAAAAGTCCTAAATTCCCTGAACTGGGTTTAAAAAGTACAGAAAACTCCCCCACACACCACCCCCAGTCCCACCTTGCCTGCGGGAGGAGGTGGCTCCAGCCCCCATCCGGCACTTCGCCTCCCCAGGGCCACGCGCCGACCTGCAGGGACCAGATACGGGAGCGTAAATCAGGCTGGGCTCCCATAAATCCATCACCTCCCTCCTGATTTACATCCAGGTAGCCGGGAGGATTTACTTGCAGTACCTGCCTCGAGTTTCCCACCCCCAGAGGAGCAGAGGGGAAAGAAAAAAAGACAGGCTCTTTCAGTATTGATCTTGCTCCTAAATCTCTTTTTTTTTTCCCTTCTTCTTTGGATGCAAATGGAGATTGATGAGCCCAGGCCAGTGGCTCCTCACCTCTGAGGGCCATTTCTCTCTGTTCCTGGGGGGAGGAGTGGGCAGAGGGATGCCCACAAGCCCACAGAGGCCATCACCCCATCATCTGTGGGCAGGAGAGAGCTCCCAGCACCTGGCTCAATGTGGAGGTACTTGCTGAGGAGTGGGATAAGGGACACCTTCATGGATAGAGCGGGATGAGGGACATCATCACAAATCAGTTTCTCAGTAGTACGTCATCTAAGCCAGCAAGCATCCCAGAGGAACTCTCCAGCCTGCATCCCTGTTCTGACACCATCCCCAACTCCATCTCTGCACCAGCTGCTCTTTCCAGGGCAGGAAAGGGGTGGGAAGCGCAGCCAGAGAGCCCTTTCCATCTCCCCAAACAAGAGACACTCCATCTCATATAGTGAGGCATGGAGAGATGGAATTCTGCAGCCGCAGGATGGTTTGGGATTAAGACCCTCATAACCCACCCCAAAGGTTGACAGTGTGACCCAAAGCTTTAGGAATTACCCAGGCACCCAGCAGCGGGAGCTGCAGGCAGCAAGGAGCAGGCAGGGAGCTGGGAAAGGGCTGAGTCAGCACCCGGAGAGTCGCCCCCAGCCAGGCCATTCGTCAGGCAAAGGTTGGGAAGGAGCTTTTCTTCCGTAGCAGGGCCAGGCAAATAATTCACAGCGGATAAATAATTCACCGGGAGTTTAGCCGCCCTCTGGCAGCGGATTGCCTGGGAGCTGTTAGCAATTATCCCGTATTTACTTGCGATCCTGAATTTTCAGTTGAATTATTCAGACAAGTCATTGCTGGGGCTGAGGAGAAGCCCGGGGAAAGGAGGCGATACCTGCAACGACAGGAAAAATCACCGTCAGGACGAGTCGGTGGCCGCGGAGGACGCGGTGCTGTTGCAACTGTTCAGCGTCTGCAGTGCCAGCGGTACCCGGCACCGCGGCCGGAGGCGACGCAGGAGCGAGGGGATGGATGTGGAGTAGGCACCAGATCGTTGGGTTTCCATCGCCCCCCTCCATTTCCAGCCAAGAGCCCCCCAGACATCCCTGTGTTTTCTGTTTCCTACCAGCAAATTCCGCTGCCTGAGGAAGAGGAGACAGAGGAGAGGCAGCGCGAGCAGAATAAATTCAGATTTCTGTTCGGATGAGCGTCTCCCAAATTGTTTTAATGAGGAATCTCCCTGGTTCTCTCAGCGGCTCCTCTGCAGCCACACAAGCCCACGTGGTGGGGACACCCACATGTGTCTTAACTCATCCGGAGTCATCAGCTGAGGGCTTGGCCTCTGTGTCCCACAGCAAACCAGAGCTGGCCTGCAAAGACACACAGAGATGGGTTTTTGGGGGGAAAAAAGAATAAAAATACTCAATTCAAGCAAAAAAGAAATTTTCTTGAAGGACAAAGCAGTGCTTCCAGCAGAGCAGAAGAGGTGCAGGGACACAGAGAATGTCACAGAGAGTGAGGCTTCTCAGGCTCCGACCGCTGGATGTGCTCCGGCTCCCGGAGGGGTTTGGCTCTTCCTTCCAGAACAGAAGATTCTCCACAGCAGTGAAAGCACCAGTTTCTGGCCCTTGCCCAGGCAGCTCCATCTGCTCTTCATGCCCAGGAGAAGAGACTGATGAAGGAGAAGACTCAAGACCAGGTTGGATGGGGCTTTGAGTAACCTGGTCTAGTGGAAGGTGTCCCTGCCCATGGTGGGGGGTTGGAACAAGGTGATCTTTATGGTCCCTTCCAACCCAAACTGTTCTGGGATTCTCTGAAGACTCAGACCGTGCACGGCAGCCTGGCACCTTCCCCAAGACACAGCCATGGATCCTCAGCCAGCAGTTGGGCTGGAATCATCTCTCTTCAACATGAAGATGCCGTTGGAAGTGACAGGACCCTGAACCTCCCACCTGCAGAGAGAATTTGGCAGGTCACTCCTGAAAACACCCAGATGGACTGAAGAGTCTAATAATAATAATAAAATAAAATGTAATTTCATAGTTGGATATTTTTAACACTGTCTTGTGATTTTAAGGGTTTAACTCACATTTACCCCTCAGGGCTGGCAGTGACTGTCCCAGCAGCATGACCAAGTGTCCTTGTCCCTTCCCATGGTGGGAAGCAGCTTTGGCAGAGCTGGCAGCTACTCTCCTGCCTTTCCAAGCCACTCTAGGCACACACAATGCCCAGGGAACACAGCAGATACCTCTCCCCTCTCCTTTGGAGGGATGTGTCCCAGCCCACAGTGCCACAGTCCCCATGCATGGCACAAAGCACCCCCCTGAGCCAGGAGCTTTGGCAAATTCCCATCCTCACCGACTGAGGCTCCTGAATTAAAAAACCTCTCTCTCCATGAGCCAACTGCTACAGGCTCTGGATCAATGGAATAGGTAAAAAAGAAGAAAAGTGAAATAAATTTGCATGAAGGATCCCTGACGGATGTTTGATTCCACAAAAGGAACACGTCTCCTCCGGCTGGGCTGAGATCCTCAGCAATAACAACCCTTCCTCCTGTTTTCTCTTGAATTGCCAGTCATGTATTTAAAATTATTTTCTGAAAAAGAAAGAAAAAAAAAAGTGACCACCTCAGGAGATGCTGACTCGGAGGCACGGTCCCATGGGGAGGTGTATGGGAAAGAGGGAGACACCAGAACCACACCAGCTGCTTTCTGGGCTGCCAGGAAGATGAAGCCCACAGGAGGGTTCTCCCACTGCCTGGAAGGGACTCACTCATGGGCATCAAGTGCTGCCTTCCTCTACTTCTTGCTCCTCATCCTCACCTGGCCCCTGTCAGCTCCTGGGATGGTCAAGTGATCCTCAGCCTGCAGCCATTTCAGCTGGGACAGCCTGGACAAACAGTCTTGGTGAGTTAATTCATGGTATTTCACCCAAATTTGATGAGGGAGCCATTTATTATATGCTGCAGTCTGGCGGCCAAGTGTCCATGGAAGGAGGGGAGACATGGGCAGAGGTTTGGGCACAGGGAATGACCCCAGGGTCAGAAGTCCAGAAAAGTTTCCTCCTCCCTGCTGAGGCTGCCCAGGTGCCTTCATGGGGCAGGAGCTAGGTGGGAAGACAGAAGGTGGAAAAAGCCACTGAGTACTGGGAAGGGGTGCCAGCAGCCAGGAAGGGTGATGACGACATTGAGGACTCCCTCACCAGCTCACACCAAGCATCTCTTCAGGCATCAACAGCTCTTTGGGTCCTGCCTCTCCAGTCCTTGCTTAGTCTTGCTGTCCACTGCCTTGACTGTATCCCCTTTCCCAGGGTCAGGGGACAAGACCCAAATGAACCACAGAAGGAACCCCAGCATCTACCCCACCAGTGAGCCAGGGGCAGCCCAGCTCAGCCCCTTCCCAGCAGTGGGATCCCTTCCTGAACACCTCCCCAGGGTGGAGGCTCCCACTGATGCCAGAGGGTGCCAGGGGATCTGCTTTGGGGCTGACAGGAACTGCAGCCAGGCACTGACACATAAATATATCATCCTGGAAAGAGCCAACAGTGGATCAGGGAGCAGCCCACAGTCACAAGAAGACCTGCTCCATCCCATCCCATCCCATCCCATAATCCCATCCCATCCCGTCCCACCCTGTGGGAGCTGGCTTGCCAGGAATCCCCTGTGTCAGCACTTCACCAGTGATAAATAAGGGAGAAATGTGGCAGCTCTGGCCCCAGGATCTGCCAGGTTTCTCCCTAAGAGAGGTAAAATGAGGGCTCTGGAGATGCCAGCGCTTGCCAAGACTCCCCCCTCTGCCACCACCAGCTCGGGGGTGACAGTGAGGGTGCCCGGAGCCCTCTGTCCCTGGAGGAGAGGAGGCACCTTGACACCCCCAGGATGGAGGGAGAAACACAAACAACAAAAAAGAATTTTTATACAAAAAAACAGATAGATCCATCCCTGTTGATGTGAGAGGATAGGAAAGGGAGTGGGGGAGAAAAGCAGCAGCTGGGATTTCAGAGAACAATGTGAGGAGAAAGAAGAAAGAGGGAGGAAGATGAGTGCGGTTGTCAGCCCTTTTCGGGGGGAGGGCAGAAGGAAAGTCAGTGATCAGCCAGATCTGAAACCAGACAAAACTATTTCCACATGCCTATAAAACCCTGAGCGTGGAGGGTTTGCAGGGCTCTGGGGCCCCCACGCTGCCTCTAAAACAAACCAGAGGAGCTGGGAAGCTCACCAGGGCAGGAGCTGGGATGTGAAAGGGACCACAGTGATGGCATCTGACCTTTCCTTCCTCATCATCCTCCCCTTCATTGCCTGCCACAGCTCATGCCCCCCAGCATTGCTTGGTCTGCGTCAAAGGGACTCATGGAAAACCAACTGGCAGTGCAGGCATTGCTAAGTGGGGCTGGTGATGCTCATGGGTGTCCCACGTGGGTCTGAGAGCTGAGAACCTCAGTCATCTCTCATGACTTTGGTGGGCTCCAGCATTTGGGATTGGGGATTGAAGGGCTGGAAGCATCCCTGATGCCATGAGGCAGCCTCTCCCCAGGGAGCCTGGTGGTGGGAACATTTTCATCTTTGGATGAAAGAGACCTGCTCCCACCTGTGTCCCACAGTGCAGTGACCTGGGCTGAGCCTTTCCCTCGCCCACGGCTTAGTCATGGAGCCCTGACACTCCACGCAGTTGCTGGGATGTGGCCAGAGGGGGAAGCAGCTGCCGCCCTGCGCTGCTATAAATCACCGCGCCAAAAGCACAGCACCCACCTCCCCATTCCCCGACTGTAAATCTGCAGGAGCAGGAACTGGAGCTGCTTATCAGGAGAGGCCACATCGCTCCCCAGCCCGGCTCAGCCCTCGTGCTGCCCACGTGGGATTCCCGGGGGGAGGAAGAGGATGCTGGGTTACCATTAACTGCCAGCAGCGCCCGCAGCCTTATCGGCCGGGCAGCGCCTTCCCTGCCCCTGCTGAGTTCTGCTCCCCAGGGCTCACTCCCACGCTCAGGGCAATCACCACCTCCATGGCTCCCATATAGGAACCACCAGCTCTGGGCTGTGAACAGAGCCAAGCAAACTCTCAGCACATCCCCAAGCACTGCACGTGAGTCCTCAGCCCTCCCTGGAGCTGTGTCTGTTCCTGCATCTTCACACCCTTCCTGCCACTTGGGTGGACAATGGCCAAGACCCAATTCCTGTCCCCCAGCCTGGAGGGAACCTCTTCATCCCCTCCCGTTTGCTCAACAAGCATGAGGACTGGACAACTGCAATGTTTTGCTCTTTGTTGCAAGAGTTTAAGAAATCTTGGACACCTCAATCCTACAGAAACCTCCTGTTCTGGGGGGTACAGGAGCCAGAACTGAAGGGCAGTGTGTCCATCCCCTCTGGACATGGAAGAGGAGGCCATTGAGAAACATGTCCAAGGACACACCACAGAAGGTCCTTATGTGCTTCAGGCACATTTGGAAACTGAAGGGGTCACCAGGAAGCTGGAAGTCACTGCCACACACAATGCTGATGGTCACTCCAAGAAAGGCTGTGCCTTCACTACACTAATTAACAGTGCAGAAGAAAATCAAGCCCAGGTCTGTGCCCCATTGTCCCATCCCACCAAGGCAAAACCATTGGGCTCCACAGCCTTCTCCAAGGGAAAGGGTACAAAGCAGTGTGACTTAAAGAGGGTGGAAATTGGAGGTCTGCTTCTGACCATCATGGCAAAGAGATGCTGGCACACTCCTGCACAAGAAAAGCAGGCATGAAACACCCACAGCTCAAACCACAGCAGGATCCATTCCCATGCCACGGTCACCAACAATCATCAGAGGTGACAGTCAAACCCGAGCCAGAGCCCTGCTGTAAATGAAGAGAGACACCTTCTGATTGGAACAACTGGGCGTGAGTTAAAGCCTGATTGCAATGGGCTGCTCACACATTTGCTGACCAGCTGAGCTGTGCTCCTGCAGAGCTCACAGGGCAGGGGTAGGATTATGCTGGAAATGGGAACATTCCTCAAAATCATACACCCTGATCCCAATGGAGTGGGCCAATGAGCCCGCCAAAGTCAATGGGACAAGAAATGGTAACAAGAGGTTTGGAGTTTGAAGGTAGCGCTGAAAATCAGGTCCAAGGTGCAGAGAAATTATACCCTGAGTTTTACAAGAATAAAACCTGGAGCAAACATCAGAGATCCTGCAGGAGGCCAGGGAAAGCCCTTCCCTCTCCTACTGCTCTTGGTCCTCCAAGAAGATTTTCTTCTGTGCTGTTCCCACCCAGATGAGCTTAGTGATGTGCTGCACCCAACATCTGCAAACCATGGGGGAGCTGGGAGGCTGGAGACACAAAATATCTCTTCATCATCAACTACCCTCATGAACGGGGCTTGGGGAGCTCAGCCGGGCTCATGTCCCTTTACTGCACCAAGCCATGGGCTTCTGAGAGGAAAGCTCTGATCCCAGAGGGACCTCAGGATGCCATCCAGCTCCATCCACGGCAGGACCTGAAGCACCCCAGGCTTTGCTGGCACGAAAGCCGTGCTGAGCACGACCATCCTGCACGGTCACTGCTCCCCCCGAGGGAATGGAAACCACAGCAGGGTTTTATGATGGCATTAAACTCAATGTTCCCAGCACCTCTGGTAGCACAGGACCTGCTCAGAAGGGTTATTACAGCCTGAAGGGCAGATTTACCACAAACAAATCCAAATGCAGAAGCAGCCACGGGGCTGTTTGCACCTTCTGCCAAGAAACGTCGGGGCCTCCAGCACGAGAGGGGCAACGGCATGTTCCTTCCTCTCTCTTTTCTCTTTCTTAGTAAATTAAAAATAATACTAATGGTAGTAAATGCCTCTTGGCTTCATCCTCTCTCCCATCAGAGCAGATTCAATTAGCAGCTTCCCCTGAGTGGCAGAGGTGTGATTTAATCCCAGAACGGGATGCATGAAGATGCAGGGCAGCGGGAAGTTTCCATCTGCCCCCCAACCAAATTCCCCAACCATTCCCACACTGAAGATCAGATAAGATTTCCTGCTTCCCTTCCTCATTAACAGGTTTGGGAGGCACAGCCTGTGGTTTGGTTAAAGAAGCCCTGAAGACACGTTCACCTGAGGGAACACCAGACTCCTTTCTTCACATTGAGTGGATGTTGTCACCCAACCATGGGATGCTCTGTATGTCAGGGCATCCCCCAAAACAATGTTGGTACCAAGTAGCTGGGCACAAAGTGCTTCATACCCTGAGCTGGCAGCTGCTGCTTACAGCCAAAGCACCTCAAAATATCCAAAACCCAAAGGGAATTCCCACAATACTGGTGGGCGACCGAAACCTCCACAGATCCCATACCCAAATGGCCAATCCCCAGCATGGGATGTGGCTGCAGCCTCATGGCATCCAAAGTGCTCAGCGAGCTGGAGCAGCTACAGCCACCCCCATCCTGACACTGTGTCCCCTATGAGGGGTTATCAACCCCCTTGGATGACCCAAAACCACAAGCTGTTCCCTTTCCACCCACACCTCACCCTGTCGATGCTCTCCTGTGGGTTTCCACAGCACATCCTGGAGCCGAGCGCCCAGCACGGGCTGCAGTGTCCAGGGAGGAGAGGTAACAATGCTCACATCAAGCCCTCTGCATCCACAATTCCTATTTGATTCCCTTTAAAAGGGGCTGTAATGCAGCACGTATTTATACTTCAAAACAGCTTGTTTGTGTAATTGCCAAAAAAATGTTAAAAAAAATAGAAAAAAAAGGACAGAAAACAGCCCTGCTACAATGACTAATTAGCTCGCTCCTGCCTCGTCCCCTGTAAACAAATGTATTTGTAACCAATTTGCAAGCACTTTGCATAAGGGGCCCAGAACACTCGTGCCTGTTTGATGCATTTTGACATTAATTTGATAATAGCAGCTTAACAAGGAATCCAGGCTCCCCAGCTATAAATATGCTGCTTTTCCACTTCCTTTTATCTGCACAGTGAAATAATGTTTTTCCCCCTGCTGCAATAACCACCATCCAACCCTTTCATGAATGCCCTTTATGTCCTTTAGCATTTTCAAGGCTGCTTTGCTTTCTTTTTTTTTTCTCCTGCTGGAGAAAGTAAAAGGGTTTTATTAGTTGTATTTTTAATTCCTGCTCATCGGGGGGGGGTGGTAGGAAGGAGAAGAGAGGACAGTGATGGTGCTCTGATAATGCAGCTTCCAGGAGACAGGGATGAGAGACTTGTTTGTTCAGAAATACCGCTCCATCCATTTGTACTTCCTAGGAGAGAGAAAGCTCATCCTTTTTCTCCTCTTCTCCACTCACCGTGGCTCTCCCTCTCCATGCAAACCTTCACCACCACACCAAAACCAAATTCAAGCACAGTGAAATGGGAATGCGACTCTGGAGTCCACTCTGATGCCAACCAGAAAGCAAAAAAAAGGGCTGAATCACGGGGACTGAACAGAGGCTATGGCTTACCAAATGCCCTGACACCATAACTTCTCCTCTCCTTCTGGTCCTTCCCAAGACTTTCCACCTTTCCCCATGGTCAGAAACCTCCCTCACACGCAGGTTCTCCCTTGTGCATGCACCCTGGGGAGAGGCCACCTCTGGGGCTGGGAAGTACCAAGCCCAAAATTAGCACCTTGCAAATTGTCAGCTGCATCCTGTGGCCACAAACAAAGCCTCTGGGAGTTAAAGCAATTTGGCTGCTCTTCTCCACATTCCCTTCTCTCCTGCCTCCACCTCGGAGCCAGCGACGCACACGCTGCTCCCAAATTGACCCAGGGAGTGAGAAGTTACACAGAGCACAGACCCAGGAGACCTCTCCTCCTGCCATCCCAGGCCTGGAGACCTCCCAGACAAGGTCCCAGAAGGTGGAAGAACCAGGGACTCTTGCCCACCTTGCTGACATCAATACTCCATGTGCCCAAATACTGGCTGTACAGGTGAGGGTAAAACCAGAAACACACCGAGACATCCATCCCTCCCTGTGCCAAGCTGAGCTCTTCTCCCTCAGCCTTTCCACACCCCTGCTCCAGTTCTTCCTGCTTGAAACCAAGTCAGGTCCCTCCTTGCCAACAGATAAGCTGGCAGAGGACACAAAATCAGTACCAAATGGGAAGGGGGATGCTCTGCATGGGCCTTCCTTGGGTTTCCTCCCACCAGTGTTTCACATCAACCACGGCCCTTTCAGCCACTTCCCACTGGAGTCCTCCCCTGGAATCCCGAATGCCAAAACCCCACGGCAAGGCCCAGCGATAAGATGGAGACTTAGCAGAGTCCAAAAGCACATTCTTTCTTCAGTCTCCTCCCTCCTTATCTCCTTCCTCCCTCCCCCAAAACCACATTTAGATAAAAGTTATTGGAACAATAAAATCCATAAGTTAAATACAAGCACAGGAGGGATGAAGGGAGGGTCTCTGCTCTGTGCCCAAGTGAGCAGACCTGCCAGAACTGAAAAACAACAGAGGAGGGCTCGTGATCCACCCTGGAATAAAACCTTGGATCACTGCAGGCAGAGATCCCAGCACACAGTCCCAACACAAGTCCTGCACAGACTCACTCACCTTTTAAAAACTGATCACAACCACATTCTGACGCTCTCCTCTACTTCACCTACCTGGGGTGAGCTGACTTAAGCACATGGGTACCTGAGCTGCACCATTTTCCACAAAGCTGATCCTCCTGCGTGTTTATTTTGTAGATTTTCTCAATCCAAAGTAGGTGCTGAAGCCTAGTTTCCGTGTACCACTATCCCTAGAAACAACAGCACAAGAGACAGCTCAATAGGGTGCACATTTTCTCGAGCATGGGACACCTTCCACTAGGCCAGGTTGCTCCAAGCCCCATCCAACCTGACCTTGAGTGTTCTGTCCCACAGCAGCACGGTTCAGCAGTTGAGTGCTCCAAGATCCATGGAGGAGAAGCATTTCCTAAACACAAAGTAGCTCCTTTAGCAGAGCCCTCAGCCACAAGCACCATGGTGTGTGGAGCAGCATCCCAAAACCTCAGGCCTGAGGGAGTAGGGCTGTAACCTTTTCAGCAGCACTCACCCCAGCACTCCCAGTGACATTCCACAGCTCCCTGTCCAGGCTAGGGCTGCACCCAGGCACATCCCTGCCCACACACACCTCACCTCAAAACGCAGTGCCAAAGTGTGCCTCCTGGGAGGGCGGCTTTGGGCTCTGGATTTAGAGGGAAACAGATAGCAGGAGGCAAGGAGACAGACCTGGTTCCAAATGTTTCACTCTTTATTTGAAGTTTTACATGCCACCAGCGTACATGAAAGTTGCACATTCAGAATTCGACTCACTACGAGGACAAAGGGCCAGATGCAAACACAAGTGTCAAACGAGCGCACGGATGGAGAGCCCGAACCCAGGAGCCTGTCGGTGTCTGTGACCACACTGTCACCTTGATGGCACTTGGGGTGTCAGAGCTGAACCCACAGTTTTAGGGCCACCTCCCTTTGCCATCTCCAGGGTCGTGAGCTGGGTCTTCTCTCCTAACGCAGCACCCTTCCTTCCCTTCCAAACAAGCATTTTTGGTAACATCTTCACCAGAACTGAGGGTGTTTGGAGACCAACTACCCATTTAATGCTTTCCTAAATTCCCCTTTTCTATCAATGCCAGCAGTTTTTACAAGGAGAAACAATTTCCACCCGCTGTTTAGAGGGAGAGATGACAGAAATAGGGACTCTTACACTGACATTTTATTTTCAAAGAAAGTTTTGATAGAAAAACATTTTCCCCAGCAGCCTTGGGCAGGGAGTTGCAGCTTCCACTTCAAAGGACAAACTTCAAAAACAAATCCAGTGTCCTAATGGTTTTGTGCTACATTACTTAATTGTCATACAGCTAATTAGCAATGCCTGATTTCACATTCTCTGTACATAGATGAAGTTCACAAAAGAAGGGGCTACTTAAAAGAATAAATAAAACAAGGCACCAGGCAGCCAGACTCCGACAACATTAACATAAAACGTTACACTTTACCATTTAAAAAACTGAAATAAAACCCCCATCATGATTAAACCTATATTGATCTGTCTTCCTTCAGATCTCAGAGCTTTGGATCTCTGCAAGAAGGGGGGAGAATGCAACGCAGCAAGCAGGGGCTTAGCCTGTGCCTCTCTGTATGTATTTCGCCAGCATGCAGCAGAGATCTTTAAAATTCTAATTATTTCCCTATCACCAAGTAAGATCGGGATCAATAGATGGTACAAACTGACCCCTTTCCTCGAGTGTCAGGGGGAAATTAAAAAAAAAGAAAGGGGAGGGCGAACCGAGAGCGTCAGAGGTCAATGCCACAAAACAATAGATATTGATGTCTCCATTCATTTCAAACAGTGGAAAGGTCAATGCCTCCCTTGCTTCATGTTTTATGGCTGAAATCCTGCTGCTAACAGCAACAATGTTAGTAGTCAGACCTCATCCATCCTTTTTTATTATTATGATTATTTCTAACCAGGTTAGCCATTTTGAAAATTTGACGAAAGCTGGGAAGCAGCACTGGGGGCTGGGTAGGAGGAGAAGAGGGGAAGCTGCCCTGGAAATTAATGGAAGGGATGGTTTCCATTAGTTTTCGAGTCTGCCTGTCCCTTTACCTGTGCCCCAGTTTGTCCCTCACTGGCCCCTAAAAAATGAAAAGGGCCTGAGGCAACATCCCTTCACTATTAATCATTATTCCCCATACAAGATCCCAATTGGTTTCTATGGAAATGATTCTCCTGCTGGAGTACCCCGGCTGCCTGTGCATCTCATCACACAGGCAGGAGAGCTGCAGTGGAAGGAGATTCGCCTCTGCAACACCCAGCACAGCTCCTGCACCGCTCTCCTTGTGGACAGGGAGAGGAGCTTTGGTTGGACACTGTTGGGACTGGCCAAGAGGGAATTGCATCTCCCTTAAGCAGGTGAAACAACCCTTCTGCACTCCGTCAGTGGAAAAGTCTCACGTTTCTGTCGCCCCATCCTAAAAAATGCTGCTGGGAGAAAGCATCGAGCACCTCACGTGTACGGTCCACCACAGGACGCTCACACCTCTGAAAACCAAGGTGAGGAGACAGTCCTGCTCTGCTCCCCAGGATCTCACACACCTGGCAGAGGAGGAGGCAGCCCCAGCCTTGCCCTGTGCTCCCCAGGGAGCAACACCTCGCCCAGAGGAGAGAGCATTTTGCACCCCTGGGGGCTTCCTGCCAGGCAAATGAGCCTCCTCCCTTCCACAAGTGAGGAAACTGAGGCCAGGACTCATGATGTGTGTCTGGCTTCCAGTGCGAGGTCCGTGACTCCATCCTGCCCTATCTCCTCTCACTCCAATCTCATCTCCTCCTGCCAAACCCCCTCCCCGACAAACAAGCGACTGCAGCCCAAGCTCTCCAAAGGGAGGAAAGGCTGTCACCACACAGCTCCTTCCCCAGATGGAGCAGTGGATACACTGTCACTTCCCAAAGAGACCATGAAATCAGCTTTGCAAACAGCTGAGGAGGCAATCCTTTAACCTACACTGCTCCTAAGAAAGCCAGGGGAATACTGATGACTTAGCCACTCCGAATTCCCCACACCAAAACCACTGTCACTCCAGAGCCTCCCAGCCTGCAGGAACCAAATGCCACTTCGCCAAACAAGACTTTGGACGTCAGCAGAGCAGCAAACAACAGCAGATTTTAGGCACTAACAGCACCTGTCCCAGAATATCCTTCTCCCACAGAAGTGTGGACACCTTGTTGGTGATCAAAGCAAAGACTTCTGCTGCAGTTCCCAAAGCCTGGAGGTCTGCTCTGGAGCGCAGCAAGGAACAGGCCAGCAGGGACTAGGATCCTGCAGAGGCACTCCCTGTGAGAAGGGCACCTTCTGGAATTGAATTCATTTATTTTAGACTATGGACAGCAGCATCAGCAGGCTCAGAGATCACCTCATTAGATGCTCACAGACAGCAGGAGGGAGATTTCTGGAGAGATGGGGACAGAGAACAGAGAAAAGGAGGGGGGATTTCATATTAAATAAAAGCCAGGAGCAGAACACCCATCTCTCTGCTCCCCTCTTCTCCTCTACGGCTTCCTGCAGGAGCCTGAGCGCTGAGTGGGCTCCGAGTCCCAACCATTGCTCCGCTCAGAACATATGGAGCTGTGTTTAATAGCCCAGCTCTGCCAATTGGGGACTATTAGGGTGGGTTCTTTTCCCAGTGTAAATGTTGCAGAATATAAATTGTAATTAACACCGATGCCAAAATAGCACTTAGAGAAAATAAGCACATTATTAACATCTGGTGAATCCTGCCTGGAGTGCAGAAGCAGCGGAAATTCTCACTCACCATAAGAGGATTTCTAGTAGAGATATCGAGCACTGGCCCGGAATTGGGGGTGAAAGGAATTTTTATCTCTTTATCACCTGTGGGTGACCTTTCCTAGCCATGGTTGTATCTGGTAGCATCACCAGGATTTCTGACCCACTTGCACAAATACAGATGCCTAAACAACACATCCCAGGCAACAGAATAACAGCATTATAAAACATGCCTGATTGCTGCCCCCATCCAGCAAGACACGAGGCAGGTGGATATAGATGTGCCAAGCCAAAGGAACAGCCTGTTCCATCAGTTGACTGCAATCCCAAGACCAAAGGGTTAACAGCACTATCAAGCAACAGCTGGTTTCTGAACACCTCTGGTCCCCCATCCAGGTTTTCCAGTGGGACAGGAACAGGTGAGTTGGCAGCAGTACCAAGCTCCTGCTGATGCCACAGCCTGTTTGTGGAGGGGAAATCCCTGCTGAGGGTGGGAACGGCCTCGCTCCTGTAGCACGTACCAAACTGCTGGGATTCCTTCACAGGACTACACAGGTTCCCTTAGGCATCAGAGAGCTGGTTCCATATCCTCAGCCTTCCCTCTGCCCTGCCCTGCAGCCAGAGGTACAAGGAGGAGAAAGCAGCTTTGCCAATGCTTCAGACAAGGAGGTGAAAGTAGCTTTGCAAACACTCTCCCTAACCCTCACTAGCTATCCTAGGAAAGAAACCTGGACAAAAACCAGGCAGAGCTGAAGTGGCCTGAACTGGACAGAGCAGCAGCTCATGTTTCTGCCAAAAAATCCATCAGATGCACTGAAGTGAGGGTAGAAGGAGAGCAGAAAGCTATTGGAAAGGGAGAGAGGGACTCAAACAGGCAAGTAATATGACAAGAGGTAGAAAGAATGACCTCATCAGGGAGAATGGGAGGGAAAAGAGCAGCAGGATGCCAAGAACAGGGCACCAGCTCCTGACACTCACCTGCACGGAGCCGAACCTGAGGCAGAGCCTCAAACGCTTCCGGAGGGCTCAGAGCTCAGCTGCAGCATTCCCAGAGGAGCACGAGCCAGCCTCGCCATCCTGCTGCCAACTGCAAACCAGAGACTGTGCTGGCTCCCTGTCCTGAGAGGGGAAGGGAGGGAACCCCAGCAAACCACGCAGGGCTTGGTTCCAGCGAGGCACAGACCCGTGCCAGCAGGAGCCTGACATTTACCTGCTCCTTACACCGTAACCTCTCCAAGCACAAGGGTTATCACAGCCTGGCTCAAGATTTACACCCACAGGACAGACTTTCAGGCAGGCTCACACCTGGCTGACAGGAAAATAAGGAGGGAAAGTCCTGCAAAGCTGGGAGATGCACTTTACTCTCAAATCTAGCCCATCAGAGCAGGGCTCCCATGAACACTGAGGGCAGAATATTGTTTGGGAGATGGCATCTTGTGCAGAAAATGCTGACAAGGAGATGGGGATATCATCTTTGGACAACTCTGGGCCTCCCCAGGAAAGCACTGCTCAACACATTCGGGATTTAGGTGAATTTAGACAGCTCTGGTCAGTAGCTGCTTTGCAGAAGACAGACCTGGTTTGCTACCAAGGGAAATTATGCCACCCAGAAATGTAGCTCCAGGAATTCATTACTTGGCTTTTGGTACAGCTGTCTGACGCTTTCAAAAGTGCTCAGTAAATAAGGCAATATGAAAGTGATCCAGACCACTACTGATGCCTGAGGAAGTTCTGTGGAGCAGAGAAGCCGACAGAAATCACACTGTGAAAATACTTCATAACATCTCTAAAATTAGCATGAGCTCAAGGCATGGGATATAAGGACAGAACTGGAACATTACATTCCCATCTACACTGCAAGACAGACTGCATATAAATCAGATCTGAGCCTCAACTTATTTACTGTAGGCACCATCTACCCTAAGACAAGGATTTCCAAAAGAGCTGAGAACTTCTTCCACCAGACCACTGGAAACAGCATCAGCAAGAATATACCATGGTTGAGGGGTTAATGACCTTAATTTGTTATTTAAAAATAAAAAGAAGAGTCCTTGTGGTACTTCTCCATCAAAAAAACCCTTTAAATATCCAGGACTGCACGTGTGTGACTACAAATGCCTATTTGTAACATAGAAAAGATGTGATGCGCTTCAATTGAGCAACACATTTTTGTGCCTCTCAGCTGGCCTAGGCTTTCTACTTTGCCAAAAACAGACCGAAGCAAAGAATGATTTCCACCAACATCACAAAGCACACTGCCAACGTACACAGGGGCCCTTGGGAAAGACACCAGGCGACACGGGGGAAAGAGCATCGTTAAGTCAGTCTCTCTTACCTTTAACTTCAGCAAAATAACGAAACAATTCATATCAACCGCAAGGAAATACTCATCAAGATTCCAGAAGCCTTTGAGACAGGATTTTCAGATGCAAGCAAACATCCAACAGATTTTTCCCCACTGCAAAGGACCAGCTTTTTTCTTTATTATTATTTTGCAATTGCACCTGGTTAAAGTGATTGTACAGCATCCAGTGAGGTGGCCAGGAGCCGAAGACGGGCAATCCAGGCCAACAAGAAGCTATTCCATGTGTTCACGCTGACTTGTCCTTTCCCTGCTGTGACAGTCACCACCACAAATTGGGAGGTTCCTCGGCCACTCTGCTCTTAAACAAGGTAATTTCATCCAAGTGCCGCATGGGGACATCTCTGATGACCTCTGTCAAGTCCTCATGAAGCAGAGGGAAAATGACGACATTTAATGCAGGGCGTTCTGCCTGGAAACTAAATCAGACACAGGTTATTAGCCAAGGAAAAATACCAATTCTCCAGTGCAAGAGAAAGGAATGGCATGGATATCGATCATGCAGGGGTGGGGGCACGGAAGGGTTGTTCAGAGGGGGCAGGAGGGGCAGCTGGAACTCCAGGTCTCCCTCTCTTCCCTCTCTGTGTTAGCAGGGAGTGCAGACTGTGCTTGCACCCCTTCTCAGCAAGTGTGCTGAGCTGGCACAAGCCCAGATTTTCTAAATTAATAAATAAATCACAAAATACAGGTATTCTCAAAGGACCAGAGATCCCAAGAGCTCTGTCCAAGCTGGGCAAGGTGCTCAGAGATAACAATTTAAACCACCTGCAAACCAGCAGCAAGTTGCAGAGCCATTAGGAAAATCAGGCCAGAGCAGTGCCAGGCATTCCCTGGGGGCTGAGCCTGGGATTATCACTTCAGGCTGGGTTGTTCTGCATGCAGAGTCTACACTCTGCAATTAGAGCACAGGCAAGTTTAGAAAGCTCAGATGTGCAGATAAGCATTTAAGTGTGCTCACACTCACACACACACACACACACACTGCAGCCTCCTTTTTAATCCAGGCTGCAGAGCAGAGGAAGAGATCTACAAAAGTTAAAGCCATTAAACAATGTAGAAAGAACCATACAAAAAGAAAAAAAAAAATCAAGTCCCCATCAGCCAGTACCCTACATGACAGCAACCTGTGAGGAAGAGTAGGGGAAGAGAAACAGTATTACCCTGTGTGGTATAGCAAGAGTTCAGTCTTTTAAAGCTGGGGGGTAAAACTGTAGCATAATTTCCCTTAAGAGCTACACCTTAAGATTAAAAAGGCTTGTGACTCTTAGCCCTGTGCCACCAAGATGCTTCCCCTGAATGGTGTGACAAGGACCAGTTCATTATCACTCTCAGGGAGGCAGAGTCACACTGGCAGCGCCAGTCCCTGGAGGCTGTGCTGAGCCTAAAGAGAAGCTCACTGCTCAACAAACTTCTCTTAGACAGATGAGTGCCTGGAAGATTCCCAGCTCATGACTAGCTCTGAAACGGTCAGATTTCTGTCAGAGAGGGAACGGCTGGAGATTCTGCTGCTGGAAACACACGTGAAAACCCCAGGTAGCAACACAGCCAAAGCTGAAGAAAGGTACACAAGAGACTGGCATTTCCTGGGAGACAGAAAGGATATTTCCATCCTCAAATTATTTGGAGCTGCCAAAAATGTGGCAGAGAAACACCCTTTCCCAGGCTAGTTGCTCAGTCCTGGCAGGTTAAATTCATTTGCCTAAGTAGCTGCAGGAGTAAGGATTTCCAGCACTACCTGGGGCAATTTTATATCTTTCTGCATCACAGACCTGCCTGTCATGCCTCATGCCTAAGGGCTGACAGAAGAGGACACGGCTCCTCGAGTGGATCTGGGGGCTCGTGTAGGAGCTGTGCAGCTTCTTACTTCCACAGCACTGCCCTCAAGAAATCAACCAGCAAAATAACTGCTGATCTGGGAGGCAGCTGGTAAAGTCTGCAGTGATTTCATATAAAATACAGCCAAATGTCTCTTTGATAGTCCCTCCTCTGCCTCAGCTCTTCATGTTTCTTATCCAACACCACAGTCCTGCAGAGAAAATCATGTTAATAGACCAAGTTTACTGAAGTTCAGCATGGAAGAAACTGCCATCTCCCCAAGGGAAACAAACCTCTGCTTCCTCCTTTGTATACAGGCTCTCCCAAATTGGATCTGTGTGCTGCCTTCTCACCATATACAAAATTGTAGTTTATAAGCAGCCTTTACATGTAGCTATAAAAACAAGAACCCAGACAAGCTTACATGATGAACTGCCACTGAGACAAATGAAAAACCCCAATGCACTCAGTGTCCCTTCCAAAGAGGCTGGGTCTGTATGACGGGTTTGAACTTCATCTTAAAAAAAAAAAAAAAAAAAAAAAGAAAAGGAAAAAAAGAAAGCTTTGTAATTTTCTCCCCCCCCCTCAACAGGAAACTGTATGTTACTGCAAACCTTGTAAATTCCAAACCCCAGCAAGTTGACGCCGGAGAATTCTTTCCATGTACAATTTGCGTGATTTAAGGAAAAAAAAAATCAAATGCACATGGTTCACTATTATTCTCAGCTAAATGTGCGTGCAAAGCCTCTCCTTTAACTGCCTGTTAAAAAACACCCTGATTTTAACGAGCAGCTGTCATAATGTTAAACTGGGATTAGCAGTTCCCAAAAGCAGCCTCCCTCTGCAATCTATGCTCCTTTAGTCCTTCCCCGGAAGGCAATTCCTTTCTTCATACACCTGTCCAGGTGGGCTAGATTAAGTGAGAGGCACTTAGAGCACTAGTTTGAAAGGCCCTAGGCATGGGGAGGAGATAACAAGAAGGGGAAGAGAGTGAGTTAATGAGTTGCAGAATAGCTCCTGTAATCTTCTTGAGGGTTCTTTCCTCATTCCACACCTGGATGGACTTCAAACTCCATCCACCTCTGCAAACGCATGGCTTGTAAAATTAAAACCCAAAGGACAGAGAAGGATGTCGACCTGGGGAGACAAAAGAGCTGCAGTTTCAGACATGAAACCCTGTTTGCTTTTTTTTTTTGCTCCGAGGGAAAAAGCCAAGGATATGCTTGCTTGCTCTGCTCTACAAAACCTCCAGACTAAACTCATCACGATTAATTAAATGAAAGCAAGTTTTTTAGGCAACTGACTTGCAGCCCCTCCAAAACAGATCCTTTAATCAGAAACAAGCACTGGGATAACAAAGAAAACACCCCCCCACACTTATATTTTCCAGCATAGCCTCTGGTCCAGCAGACTCAACACCAAACCAACAACCACCCAGCAGGAGCTTTCACAAGAAGGTCTCTGAAGTGTCCTCATTTGGATGTGGACACAGAGCCAGTCGGGCCTCAGCAGCTGGTTGGAATAATCCACAGAGCTGGGAAACAACACCAAAGCACACCCTATGTCACAAATTCCTCCTGGCATCAGCAGAGGTACAATGTCTCCCTGCTGTTAGATCTTGAACAGGTTGTATGTGGATGAAAGGGTTAACGATGGTTTGCTCTTTGTCTCCAAAATTATCCCAGAACAGGTGTGGACTGGACACAGTAAGGTTATTTTCAAGTGAACAGCTTGGTAAATAGCCTAACACTACACTCTCACTTACTTCCAACCACTGTGGTAGGATTCAATATGTAGGTCAGTGACAAAGTCAAAAAGAAAGAGAAAAAGTCTAAAGCAAGGCTGCACTTTGATCAGATTTCCTCAATTTTAGCAAGACAAAAGAGTCCCTCCCTGGAATGCAGTTATCTCCTGGCAAACACTGACATACCTCTCCAGAGAGTCCAGCAAGTCCCCTGCAGACTCCACCTGCTGAGAGAGCCAAAGGGCAGCCCAAAGCCATGGGGAATCTCACCAGCCAGCCTGGAGGGATGGATTATACCCCCCTGCAACCCTCTGCACCACAGACACTGGAAGATGACAGCTCCCCTGTGTTAGGTGCTGCTCAAACTTACCTTCTTTACTTGTAAGGAAAGGACAAGGCAGTGTTTGGGGCTGAGGAATGTATTTCCCCTTGAGATTTCCAGAGAAACCCAAGGAAAGCCCTATGCCAAATTCCAGTGTTTCAGCACATCCCACTTCCCAGAAGCTGGCAAACAAGAGAGAGGGCACACAAGGTGGGATAATTGAGCACTGCCAACAAAAGCAGCACACAGTAGATAAGGTGAGGAAATACACTGTATCAGGAGTGGATCAAGGCCAGATCTCTGAACTCCACAAACTGAGCTGGGCTTATGGGAAAAGAGGTTCCAGAGATGGAAAGGAAGGAAGAAAACCAGGAGAAGCTTGATTTAGGGAAACACAGCACAGCAGGGACAGAGTAGACATGGACTCTGGTTGGCATGACTCTCAAATGCAAACCAGTCTCTGCTGCAGTTGCACACCTTTTCCCCTCTCCACCCAGACCTCCCCCACAGGCTGGTGAGCTGCTTCTGGAGAGGCACAAGTTTCCCAAGAGAAGAGAATTGGGACCAACTCACTTTTTGCCCTGTACGCAGCTCTTTGATCTACACTCACAAACCCCTGTTAATCCTCTGCCAGCCACAGCCTAAGCCTGCCTTCTCTGGGAGACTTGCTCACATCTCAAAGTTCAAGTGTGGCATCTGTCTTGAAAGCCTCAGCCAGCTTACCTGAGCCAGGCTGGAAACTCCCTTCCTTGAGCATGGCACAGTGGAATGGAGGAAGTGCCAGGACAAGCTGGAGCAGCTGGCAGCAGCATGACCCAACACACACACACACTTTCCTTGTCTTCTCAGGGAAGGCCAGACAACCACTTAAAATTTGTTCCACTGGCCGTGTCCTGACCTCAGTACCAGGGAGCTGCAAAAGCTCTCCTTGCTTACAGTGATCGCCAGTGAAGCTTCTCCAGAGCATTTTCCAGCCACACCAAAGAAACTGCAGGTGGGATTCTCCCAGATCCCTTCCTTTGTGAGCAGGGAGGACTCTTGCCCTCCACTCATCCCCCAGAAGCCTCTCAAGAGGGGTGCAAAGCCTCCCCACACTGACTCTAAAGCAGACCCATTCCTTAGAGCCATTCTCTCTTCCAGCCCTGCCAGAGTGCCAGCACTGAGCAGACTTCATTACCAAACCTCAGAAATGGACTTGAAAAGTTCCCAGGGAAAGCTGTTGTGATTCCTCTGGCTGCTCTTAACTCCACACAATGAGATATTTTCTCCATAAGGTGTTTTCCTCTAGGGGTGCCTTCATCCCTTCATGTCCACACAGACAAACCAACATTCTCCCAAAGCCTGTCATTCTCCTTCACTGTAAATCCCATCACTATAGCCTCCAACCTGAGACCAAGGGGTGTAGATGGGACTCTGGAAATCCTTCACACACATCACTGCCAACTCTTCCCCCGTTATCTCCAAGGCAGCATCATCTGCCATTGCATTGAGCCACAGGGAAGGAGCAATAACACATCAGACTCATCCCGAGCCGAGGC